CTGTGTAAAGAATAGTTATTTTGAGAGGTTTGCAACTTTTTGCCTAGTTTTCTTACTTAATTTCTAAGTTTTAAACAATCAGCAGTCATCCAAACTTTCTTAGGTTTTGCTTTTCTTTTTCGACTTTGTTTAAAATTTGTATAATGTGGTTTCCTCGTTCTTAAGGATTTATATCCAGCATTGTTATATATATTAGTCATTGTATTGGCTATAGTGTTTACATCTAAAAAATTTGAGTCATCTAAGATATTGTTTAAGTGTGTAAGATCATCAACCGATTCCTCATCTAAAATTGCATCAATATATCTTACTTTACAGTTTTCTGACCAAATAAAAGTGCCAGTGCAAAGATTGTAGCTATCATAATTTACACTAATGTTTCTAGTGGAAATATTAATACCTGTTGATAATAGACAATGATCTGATAACTCATTAGGAGGTGATACACAAAAGTATTCAATATAAGTGTACAGTATGTTACTTGCTAACATGTAGTCAACAGTGCTTTTGCCATTTGAATTATAAAATGTATAAAAACCAATGGAGTCACCAAGAAATCTACCATTCAACAGACGAAGATTATTGGACTTACAAATCTCTGTTAATAATTTTCCATGGTAATTTGAAGTTTTATCTAATTGTCGACGAACAAGAAAATGACCCCCAACATATGAATCAGGGAGGGGACAGTCAGAGATAGATTCACTTACACTGTCCTGAGTAATAAAGTCCAATAAGTTTCCAGTTCTTGCATTAAAATCACCACATATTAGTGTCTCTCCATCTCTTGAAAAATTTGAAATTTCATTCTCCAGTTCTAAAAAGTTTTGTTCAGATGTCTTTTTGCCAATGTACGGTTTCATGTAATAGAAACAGCAATAAAGATGTTTATCAAATGGTAGTCCTATTGCTTTATCAATTTTTAACCAAATAGAAAAGTCATTTTCTTTAACAATCTTGACAAATTTGCTTACAAAGGGTTTATAATACAATAATAATCCACCAGAACATTTAAGTTATGCTCTGAAATGTTCCCACAAAACAACTTCTGTCTTACTGTTTGGCTTAATAACAAACTTTCATAAGTCCATTTTTAAATTTAATGACAAAATTCCTTAATCTAAGTATATTGCCAATATATCGATATTACAAAATCGTATTGCGATACGATATTTTTTATCATTGTATTGCAATATATTGAAATATCGATATTATTGCCCAGCCCTAATTATAAGTATACATATGCATGTATTAAAATGCTCATCAGAAAAGAGCATTTTCCTTCTCATCAAAAGTTATGACTATTCTCAGTTTGAAAGGAAGGAGGTAAACCTCAGATTTCAAAAGGAAATAATTAAATAAGTGGAATTTAATGCATTTTGGCGACTTTGTTAGCCTAAATCATACATGGAAGCAAAACAATGCGGCACCGAAAGACATAGATGAAAATGGATGAGACAGATTTCACTCGGAAAGAAAGCATGGCCGCCCAGAACAAACGCTTTGTCAATTTGTCAGAACGGATTTTAAATTCAGTTTAAGATATATGAATCATGCATTATACCAATTTTAACTTATGCTTCTGAAATCTGGATAAGTGATTTTAAGAAAATTACAAAAGACTTTGATAAAACTCCATTTGAAAAAATTCAAAATTTCATCTTGAAAGACATTTTAGGGGTCCATAATATAGCTTTTAATTTAGCAGTTAAGTAGATTTGGCGCACTTCAGTTTAAGATATATGAATCATGCATTATACCAATTTTAACTTATGCTTCTGAAATCTGGATAAGTGATTTTAAGAAAATTACAAAAGACTTTGATAAAACTCCATTTGAAAAAATTCAAAATTTCATCTTGAAAGACATTTTAGGGGTCCATAATATAGCTTTTAATTTAGCAGTTAGAGTAGAGTTTGGCGCAACAGAGTTTATAAATTATTATTTAGATATTATTATAGATTACAAACATAGGTAATCAGAGATTACAGAGCTCACCTCAACGAGTGTTGTCTTTAAGTAAGGCAAAGTCACACAATTAACCAACAAGAAGTGTACATTCCAAAAATGAAAATATTTAAGCAATTTTAATCTGATTTTGAAATAGAACTACATAAAAAATTTAAACTAGTTCTTCTTCATGAAAATGTAATTAAAATCCAGCATCTGAAGCAAATTTGAGAGTTTTCATCTTTTGATGCAACATTTGGGCAAGTTTGGTTTATACAATGTTATATAAGCCTTATAGTTTTTTGGTAATAGACCTGCACCCATAACTTTTACCTGGTCTGTTATCTGAAAATGTATGTCGAATTCAGCATCTGAAGCAAGTCCATTAGTGTGCATCCTAAGATGTATCATCCATGCAAGTTTGCTCATTATAGGGCTCATAGTTAATTGGAAATGAAACATGCATCAAAAACTAACATTTTCACTCATCAACAAAAAGTAGGTCAGATTCAGCATCCGAAGCAAGCCCAGTAGTATGCATCCTTATATGTATCATCCACGCAAGTTTGGTCATTAAAGAACTCATAGTTACTTGGAAATGAATCATGCACCAAAAACTTTAACCTATTCACTCAACTGGAAAAATGTAGGTCAGATACAGCATCCGAAGCAAGCCTGGTAGTATACATCCTTATATGTATAATCCATGCTAGTTTGGCCAACATAGGGCTTATAGTTACTTGGAAATGAAACCTGCACCAAAAACTTTAACCTGTTCACTCAACCAGAAAATGTAGGTCAGATTCAGCATCCGAAGCAAGCCCTGTAGTGCATCCTTAGATGTATCATCCATGCAAGTTTGGTCAACATAGGGCTTATAGTTACTTGGAAATGAAACCTTCACTAAAAACTTTAACTTGTTCACTCAACCGGAAAATGTAGGTCAGATTCAGCATCCGAAGCAAGCCCAGTAGTATGCATCCTTAGATATATCATCCATGCAAGTTTGGTCAACATAGGGCTTATAGTTACTTGGAAATGAAACCTGCACCAAAAACTTTAACCTGTTCACTCAACCGTAAAATGTAGGTCAGATTCAGCATCCGAAGCAAGCCTGGTAGTATGCATCCGTAGATGTATCATCCATGCAAGTTTGGTCAACATAGGGCTTATAGTTACTTGGAAATGAAACCTGCACCAAAAACTTTAACCTGTTCACTCAACCGTAAAATGTAGGTCAGATTAAGCATCCGAAGCAAGCCTGGTAGTATGCATCCTTAGATGTATCATCCATGCAAGTTTGGTCAACATAGGGCTTATAGTTACTTGGAAATGAAACCTACACCCAAAACTGCACCAAAAATGTTAACCTGCTCCAAAAACATTAACCTGGTCATTCCTTTGCTGAAATTGCAGCATCTGAAACTTTGACTGGTACAATGAAACACACTAGAACCATCTTCCATGCATGTCTAATCAATATAGGACATAGAAGTACTTAAAAAGAAAACTGCTCCAAAAAACTTAACCTTAACCTGGGACGCCGACGCCGACACCGACGCCGACGCCGAGGGTATTACATAAGCTCCCCCAACTTCGTTGAGGTGAGCTAAAAACTTGTTGCAGATCAATAGAAATCAAACTTACTTTTACAACATGCATTATTAGAGGATGAAAAACTTGCAGGAAGTGGAAAAACATGTTGGCAAAACTGTATACAAACTTTACTTGATGAAGTTATTGGTTCAAATGCTAATACATTATCAATAAATGATTTTGAAAATAATTTGAAAAAATATTTTGAGAATATAGTTTTTAAGGATATAATAAATATCATAGAAAAAGGTAATGGCAAATTATCATTCTACAGCCAGTTAATAAGTCAAGGGAATCTAAACAAACTTGAAATCCAACCATACTTAAATTTTTCCATTTCCAAGAATCTTCGTTCTTTTTTAACTTGATCGAGAATAAGTGCTCACAAATTACAGATAGAAGGTTGGCAGATATTGTAACCCAATTATACCAAGAGATGAAAGATTTTGTATTAATTGTAAAAATGTCATTGAAGATGAACATCATTTCTTATTTGTATGTCCTCTTTATAAACAACTAAGAAGTAGTAGTTATACAATAGGTTTTAGTTGGTTATGTACAGAAGGACGAAGGTGGGGAAAAAAGGTTACGCGGCCGCGCCGCGTCCGAGTGACATTTTTGCCGCGCCTTCGTCCTTCTGTACATAACCAATTAAAACCTATTGTTTAAGTCACATGTACCAGAGCCATGCGAGGTATCTCGCACGTGCAAAAAGAAATTTCGGCGCTTCATTTCCCGATTACAAGTCATTTGATGCGGACGGCCGCCGATAAAGCAGCGAAATGGAAATGGACGATACGTGCGAGGGTTTTTTTGATTTGGGGAGCCTGTGGGACACGACAATTGACGACATTACTCTTTCGGAAGCAACTGAGCAGCTATGGGACACTACCATTGACGGCATTACTCTCTCGCAAGCAACTGAGCAGATAGAAAAGGAGATCGAGTGCGAAAATTTGCTAGAGAACATCACCTTATCTCAGGCGATCAACTTGTACAACCCCGGCCCCGATGACATGGAATTGGACTACACGGTTTATTTTGATGTGCTCACAAAAAATGAGGGAGGATCTAAGATGTCGGTTGGTCGTTATGAACATTTTGTAAATGACAGTGATTGAAAAGAGTTGCATAATTCGACAGAAAGCAAGAACACCCGCAAGAACACAAATTGGTCTGTAACTACGTTTAACGACTGCCGTTCCGCTCGGATGTTGACAACAGGGGACCAGATTCCAGATATTCTGTCGTTCTCTGCAGAGGAACTTAATTTTTGGTTGTCAAGATTTGTTGTTGAAACGCGACGCAAAGATGGCAAAGCGTACCCTCCAAAAACACTTTACATGCTTTGTACTGGACTTTTAAGACATTTACGAGAAAACGGTGTGCATTTGAATTTTCTTGATGACAAGAATTCCCAATTTTACGAATTCCGGAAGACTCTTAGCGCAAGAATGGCAGAACTTACCGCACAAGGAGTGGGGACGTCTACAAAGCAGGCCAAGCCTATTTCTGAAGAGGCAGAAAATGTTCTCTGGGAAAAGGGTCTCCTCGGCAACAATACGGGAGAATCTATGTTAAATACTGTCTTTTTCTACAATTGCAAAATGTTCGGACTGAGGGCTGTTGACGAGCACAAAACATTATCTGTTAACCAGTTTGAGTTAGGTCAAGACCAGAAGGGCAGGAAGGGCAAATAAGACATACAAAGGTAAGTTGATTTACTTATTAAAAAACACTACAAATTGGTTAGGCCTATCACATTTTAAATGCGTGGACCGCAAATTGCTGAAAAATTGTTAAATAAATCCCTGTATCGATCCGTTAATTTGTATTTTGACCTTGTATAGAATTTATATCAATAATAAAAAACAACTGAAAAATACATTTTTGTGGAGAAAAAAAAACTATTGATAGAAATAAATTGTGTAATTTTTTTAGGAAAGTTATAATTTGAATGTACAGTCCTTGTTTGTATTTTTTTTAAGGTGGATTGTATCAAAGACACGTGAGCGCGAAATCGATAAGACATCACTTCCAGGGCGAAAAAGTCTACAATATCTATCAGGAATACTTCAATCTGGTGGTGATTCAGAAAATAACCGATTTTACCGGCGACCATTGGCAAATGGAGAAAAAAACGAAATACGTTTCAGTGTACAACCCACTGGAATCAACAATTTATCTACAATTATGAAAAATATGTGTGACAAAGCCGGAATTCCCGGATTCTTTTCTTATCATTCTGGTAAGCGCACTTGCACAACCACTCACTACCAAGCCGGGGTATCGGAACAGGAAATCATGGAACGTACAGGCCACAGATCTATTGAGAGTGTCCGCAAATACAAGCGTCCGAGTGAGGAGATGCTATGTGATATTTCCAACGCATTGGAACCAGATGAACCGGTCAACAAAAAGGCAAAGTCCTTGGACGAAATTGAAAATCCAAACTATGGAGATTGCGAGTGTAAAAACACATTTAACAACTGTCAAGTATTGTTAAATCGTTGAAAAGCATGTTGTTTTAAAAGTTGAGATGACGTATTAGTTTTTCATTTTATGTCATACACTGGACTGAAAGTGTATGTGAATTTTGTTAATCAATGTTGAGGAAAATGTAACTTTTCAATGATTATTAAAGTTGGAAATTTATGCAAATGATTTACGTCATGATTTTATTGTAGCAGTTTTACCACGCCCATTGGGTATCAATGGTTATGTACAGATACCCACAGTTTAGATCAAAAGAAAATTACCGCTGCTATGGTACATGTGAATTTTGTACACTTTTTAATAATACATGTATATCTTATGAAATTCTTGATCCAGCAGATGTTAATTCTACAAGAAATATTTGTAACTTCATACGTGATGCATGTAATATAAGAAAATCTATGTGACTACATGTACAGTGTATATATTTTATATTTGTTTACTGTATGTATGACTTGCGCCACATGTGGTTTTTGTCAAATTAAATAAAAAAAAATTCCTAGCTTATAATTATTCAGCTAGCAACCAAATGCAAATCAAACTCCAAGGTCAAAAAATGGAAACAAATTATGAATGCAGAGAAGGAAAAAAATTATGACAAATGTTGATTTTAAAGAGCCAAACTTCAAGGTCAGAGCCACAGGTTCAAATTTAAGCAATAGGTACCCAGGGAAGGCCTTATATATAATAATTTTTGTCATAAGAAACACACTTATAAAATATTAAATCCCAAATACCAACTGTTCAAAAGTTATGACCAGGGATAATTTTTTCTCCAACAGCTTGTCATACCGAGGTTAAAATGTCAAAAATTTAGTATCCAAAGGAAGGTCTTGTCGCGAGGAATCATCAGTGACACCTGTAAAAAATGAAGGTTCTAGTAATAACAGTTCAAAAGTTATGTTCTAGGTCAAATGAAGTTTTTAAAAATGGATCGAATTCAATTCAGTGTCATTTAAAGTCATGATCAAAAGGTCAATGAATTGAATGGTCTCAAAGTGTCATGTGATGTATGAAAGAATGACATCGGTTAAAGTTGCCAATGGGTAAATTCCTGCAAAATTTTGTCAGACTCCAAGGACAAGGTCAAGAGGTCAAATATAATGGTACCCAAAGAAAGGCCCTTTTACAAAGAATACACTAGCGGAATATGAAAGTCATAGCTCATAGCTTTTGAGCTTGCAAGGTTCATATATGTTTTTGTGGACAAACAGACAGACGGACGGACAAGGCAAAAACTATATTCTATGAATCTACGATTATAGGGGTATAAAAATTTAAATCTAATATTTTTAATTTTAAGGGTATATGGGGATGTATACGCCACTTTTTCACAATTTCTATGAATAGAGTAAGCTCCCTTTGAATCGATCTTCAAATTTTGAAGATAAGAAAGGTATATTCTTGTAAACACAAAATTTTGAGACCATGTGGTAATATTTATTATTTTACAAATCTAGGAGAGAATGTCAGAAGATAACTCACTACAGCTCAATTTCTATGTTGGAAATGAAAAACGAACGAAACAGAAAACTAAATATAGCAAGAAACGGGTAATATTTTGTAATTTTCAAAAAATTTAGATACTGTTACTTTTTCCTTATGCATATTGTTTCAACTCTTTCAAAAATCATATCAAAGGCAATCTTTCAAATCGTTTTGATTCTAAAATATTAATGATATTGTGTACATTTGGTAGCGCAAGGAAGATACATACAGCTGTAGTACAATTAACCATATATACAATCTCATGATTAGAGGGCTACCTGTCCTACTGTACCTATGACATCACTTTTGCATTATATTTTGAAATACAACGGCTTCCAAACCAGATTCAATCAACGGATAATTTTTGGCCCAACTTTCTGCTTTGAAAGAAACCAGTTTAATGGTGTATTAACACAGTTGCAAATCCAAAAGTCATGCTAAAATGACCCAATTTCAGAGAGATCGAGACCTTTCATTTTTCATGAGATTTTAATTATTGTTTGCCTTTGATAAACAATGTAATGCATATTTGGAATCAAAGTGTTAATCACACTCAAATATTGTATATCTGGGGGAAATATAATTGGATCCCTTTCACACATGATTAACAGCAAAGGCGAAATTGACATTTTTAAAAATTTCTAGATCTCCCTCTTTCAGTATCAGGTGATATATGTCTTTTCAAATCAAAATTTATTACACTGATATTCATAAATGATTTTTGTTTTAAAATTAATTATATCTGATTGCTGAGTTAAAATTTAATATGAATCTTCTTTTTTCCCCAGGGAACGAGAATAAAACAAAGAAGATTACAAAAAGCCACATCCGAGCTAGCTGCTTTTCATTCAGATAAACCTGATCAACCACATAAACCAGAGACAATTCAGGAAACAGAGAGTGAAAAAGAGGTTCCATTGAAACCAAATAAAAACAAACCTGAAAAGGAATATGACACTTCAAAAGTTCCTGTGATTGTATCCTCATCTTTGAAGAGAAAACACCCAAATGATGTGAGAGAAGTGCCACACAAAAAAGAGAGGAATGAAAATAAGGTGTTCATATCCTCTTTGTTCAGGTTTAATCCTGAGATTCCAAATGTTGAAAAGTAAGTCTTTTAATATGAATTTTGTGTTTTGTTTATTTATACAATTTAATTTTGAAGCCAAAAATCAATTGAACATTTAATATTTTATTTAGGTCAGCTGTTGCAAAGATAAGAGAGGAGATTTTCTCTTCAAAGAATTTCAAAGATCTAGAACTACATCCCTTCATGGTAAAAAAAAATGTTTTGTTATAACCTGAGTCATTTTAGATATTAATATAAAAATATATTGCAGGAAGTTTCAATTCATTGGTTAACATTAACTGATATGTTTCAGATTTCAAATTTAGAGGAGAGATTCAAGATAACACAGATGACATCAGTGCAGCAGAGAGCCATTCCACAAGTACTCAGTGGTCACGATGTCCTTGTCAAGTCACAGACGGGGTCAGGTCAGGACACGCTTCTTTAATTTCTTTTATGGTTTATTATTCATTT